TTTTTCCATTCGTACATTCGGAGAGGCGTGATGTGCTCCAATGGCAGTCCATGAGACATTCAAATATTCGCGCGTGGGAAACTATTCAGACAGCAGCCGGTGGCGAGATTTAACTACGTTCTTCAAATGTTCCTGCGCGGGAAAATTTAATCCAGAGAACGTTCCATTAATTCAATCGCGTTAGGCTTTTTCAGACGGATTTGATCTTTCTCGGCTCGAATGTCATGGGAACTTTGTTGTTTCTCACCTTTTGATTAGAGCGATATGGACGTCTTCATCCTGCACTTTGAAACGACTTCATTTCTGATTCTTTTCGCTTTGAAATTTTACTAATCCCTTCTAACCTATAACCATCTATTGCAGGTTGCCTCTTTTGAATTCGATGACGACCGCCTACGATTTTCCTGATTTGAACATCTCGCCGATACTGGGTGAAAGCGAGTACGATGATGCAGCAATTGAAGAAGGGATCCAGGAATCACAAGTTCGTTCCTCATTTTCCCTCAGAAAATCGTAAGCCTTTTTTCAAAGGATTTCATGCAGTTATTTTTGCAGCATCGTTTTTTTTTTGTCTAAGCTGCATTATGAAAGTTTTAATGCGCTGCAGAGTTACAGGAGGATGTTCCCATTCAAGATATGTTGAAAGAAATGTCAATTTCGGGGAGCCGTCCTTCCAGAAATGCGTTCTCGAGTGACATAACAGACGTCGAAAGCTGTACAGGTTGCCATTACCTTATGCTCTTTGCTATATCGTTCTCGCTTTGTAGTTGATTGTTGAACTTATTTCTCCTCCTATTGATTCTACCACAGTTGGTTCAATATAATCATGTATATACATGGGTCCTGATTAATCTTTTCTTCTTCATTTCTCTCGGAAATCAATTGGTATGGTTGAGCTTAGAGCAATACGACCGGTGTTATTTATGTCTTCTCATGGGGTTACAGAACCACTATCAACACTAGACGGATTCAAACATTCCAGAATGTAATGTACAACGACCCAAGCTGTAGCTCGGGCGGACTGTTTGCATTAGAGAGCGGACGTAAAGCCTTTTAAGCTGTCTCTTACTAATTTAGTGGAACTAACATAAAACATGTGAAGGGCTAAACTAAATTCCAACAAGCTCAAACCTACTGTTTATACTTTTATCAGTCAAAGCAAATACCTCAAACCAGAACAGTAATAAAGGCACCGAATAATAATGCAATATGCAATTCGGACGTTCTAGAATGCAAAAAACTAGCGGAGGCTATTGAAGGGAGATGGTTAAGCGCCTCGTGTTATCCTATCGCGTACAATGTATCCTATCATATCTGTAACCTGCACATCCATGTGTATCAGTGTGTGGGTGTAAGTACTTTTCACCGGAAACTTGTAACTCCTGTTTCCCCGACCCTAGAGCAAAGGCGACACATGGGAACTCTGATGGTAGGTTGCTGGACCAGACTCCGCCCACGGGGGTGGGGCGTGTTCGAGACTTCCTTTAGGCCTGGAGCACTCAAACTCATAAGATATGTGAGGGGCAGGATGAGAACAGCGATTGTAGGTGACAAGACTGGAGTCCATCCTCCGGAGGCGGGACTTATGCGATAATTCTCCGCTTAGACCTGGAAAGTTAAGCTTCGGTAGAAGTAATGGCAGCCTGATGGGAACACCGATGGTAGGTAACAGGACTGAACTCTGCTCACTTTGAGGCGTGAACGAAAACTAATTCCTAAGCCTAAGAGCATTCAAATGTTGGGGAAGGGGAGGGCGCGGTAAGCAATTCTTCCTAAGACCGTAGCATTCAAACTTTATAGATGTAGGCGGAACACTGTTGTCAAGTGGCAGGACTAGACTCCACCTAGAGCTCGCAGGATACAGTTTTCGCGCAGTTCTACAGCTCAAGGGGAACCATTTCCGGCAATCCGGCGGTCCCCCAACCCTCTCAAACACTTCTGTGGCATACTTGAAATCACTTCATCCGTGCGCAAGATGAAACTTGAGAATAAATAAAGCAATATATTCGATCTTAATGTTTTTGTTTGTTGCTGTTTTTTCGCCGGTACGCGATGCGTGAGTCTCACAAGGTTGTCCCTTTCACTGCCGACACCCCGTCTGCCCTCGCTTTCTTATATATGTCATAGCTTTTGTCCATGATTTGCCAACCTTGTGAGATTAATATATGAATTTTTATTGTTCCAGTATTGTTTTCAAGCTTTTTTTTGAATTTTTTTCAAGACAATTGGGGCTGTTGTTTTCTACCTGTGCATGATTACAGAAATTTTAACTGCAAATACATTGAACTAATTTGTTGCGCACGAAGATCGTTTATATGGAATTTCCTTGTATGAATACGTTTTTTCTAGAGCACTCATTTCCTTACTGCAGCCCTATTCTTCATTAATCTATCTTTTGTTAACTTTCAAGTGTGAGTTCGTGGATGTCCGCACTATTGAGGACGCTTGGCACCTGATACGGGGCTGGCTATCTATTCAATTGGGAAAATTCCATGTTCTGTATACAGACCACTTCAGATGCTCAAAGGCGTCCACTGTCTTTGTGTGCAACTCGCCTTGGGGACTCATTTGACTCATCGTCTGAAGGAGCTTTCGCCGCACTCGAGTGTGAAATGAAGCGCTCGCTCTTCTCGATTGCAGAATCATCTGATATCGCTGGTGATCCGCAGGAGTCGTTTTCCAGTATTTTGAACGGTTAGTACTTACTGGTGCTACTTCGGAATTTATCATCGCGGTTTACATCTTTTTCCTGTCAAATTCATCTTAATAAACACTAGGCTGTCGCATAATCGTAGAAATGGGCTGCTGCGCAGATTCAACTGAAGATGTACGTTCTCGGCTTCGTCGAATGGGTGCCGTCGTCTCACGACGTTTCACCAGAACCACCACTCATGTGGTGTTTTCTTTTGGAGGAAGAGCAGCAATTTTGCGATCTGCTTTCGCATTACCAAAAAAACCTTTTCTTGTTGATCCACAATGGGTTTATGAG